AGAATTCTATATCTAGAAAAACTAATCTTCAAATATGATGGAGAAATAAAATCTTTCCCAGAAAAACCTATAGAATGGGAGAAGATATTTACAAACCCTTCATTTAACAAAGGATTAGTACCAGAATATATAAGGAACTCAAACAACTCAACAGCAAAAAGCCAAATAATCCCATTTAAAAAATGGGCAAAATATCTGAAAAGACATTTCTCAAAAAAAGGCATACATGTGTCCAATTTGTATGTGAAAAAAATGATGAAGATCACTAATCATTAGGGAGACGCAAATTAAAACCACAGTGAGGTATCACCTCGCTTCAATTAGAATGGCTGTTATCAACAAGACAGAAAATAACAAATGCTGTTGAAGATGCAGAGAAAAGGGAACTCTCCTAAATTGTTTGTGGGAACATAAGTTGGAACAGCCATTGTGGAAAACAGCATGGAGGTATGTCAGAGAACCTAAAATAGAGCTACCTTATGACCCAGCAATCCCAATACTGGGTATATACCCAAAAGAAATGAAATCAATATAAAAAAGAAACACCTGCATCTCCATGTTCATTGCCACCTATTCACAATAGCCAAGGGATGGAATCAACCTAAATGCCCATCAATGGATGAATGGATAAAAAAGGTATTGTGTGTGTGTGTGTGTACACACACACACACACACACACACACACACACACAATAGAATATTATTCGCTATTTAAAAACATGAAATCCTTTCATTCGCAGCAACATGGATGGAACTGGAGACCATCATGTTAAGTGAGGTAAGCCAGTCACAGCAAGGCAAATACCACATGATCTCACTCATGTATGTATTCTTTAAAAAAAAAAAAAAAAAAAAAAAAAAAAAAAAAAAAAAAGGTGGTTCTCATAGAAGTAGAGAGAAGAATAATAGTTACCAAAGGCTGGGCAGGTGGGAGTGGAGTGGGGAGAAGTGGTGGATTATCAGGCACAAAATTATGCTATCTACCTTAAATTAATTGAAATAACACTCTGTGCCCCACAAATATGTATAAGTAGTTGTTCAATAAAAAATAAAATATATTCACACAACATGTCCAAGCAGAAAAGATGGAGGTAAACATTAGTAAAAGTAGAAAAAGGAAGATCAGTATTAATGGAAGGGAAAGGTATATTACAATTTCAAAAGACAATAGAGAAGAAATGGAAAGATCAGCAAGATGACCAAACTGGTAAAAATGAAGAAAGGAAGAGCAGAAAACAAAAACAATAATTACTAAATGTAAAGTATGAGAAAACAATAAAAATCAAGTATATCAGTCATTGCACTAAATGTGGTTGGATTGAATTTGTTTACTAAAAGATTGTAAACAACAAACATGATAAAACTTGGATATAGGGCTAGCTGGTTAGCTCGCTTGAGACAGTGTGGTGCTGGTAATACAGTAGGTCAAGGTTTCGGATCCCAAACCAGCCAGGTGCCAAAAATAAAAATAAAAGCTTGAAAATAAAGAAAGATTGTAAATAATGGGATGGATAAATAAATATTAGATAAATGTATGTAGAAATGCAAAGAAAGCAGAAATGGCAATATTGACATCATGTAAGGTTGGAACTTAATATTAAAAACCCCAAACAGGATAAAGAGCAATATTACATAGATAGAGAAAGCATGATTTTTTAATGTTATAGAACTATAAGCACTAAACAATAAAACAGCAAAATAGTAAGATACACTTAGAACTTTATTTTGCAGGAATAGAGTGTCTACATATTTTTTTCAGTATGTCCACAGAACTTTTGTAAAAATTAATCATGAAATTGGCCACAAAGTAAACCTTAACAAACTAAAATAAGAATAGATATCAGATCTAATTCACTGATCTTAATTCAATAAAATTCTAAATAATGAAGCCCAAAAACCTTAACTCCTTGGAAATTAAGAAATGTACTCTGTATTAGTTTGTTCTTGTTGCTAATAACATAAATACCTGAAACTGAGTAATTTGTAAAGAAACAATATTTATTGCTTGTAGTTTCAGAGGCTGGGAAATCCAAAGTCCAGGGAACACATCTAGTGAGGACTCTGTTGGTGGATGGTGACAGCAGTGCAGGGTGTGACATGGCAGATGGCTGAGCATAGAGAGAGGGGAAGTGAGAGGTTCTTTTTAACAATCAGCTCTTGCAGGAACTAATAGAGCAGGAACTAACACAGTGAGAACTTACACATTACCCTCCATCCGCAGGGAATGAGTGCATCTCTTCATGAGGGATGTGCCTCCATGACCAAAATACCTCCCAACACTGCCACATAGGGGATCATATATCAACATGAGCTTTGGGCGGGACAAACATGTCCAAACTGTGTCACACTCCTGTATAATTCTTGAAACAAAGTGGATATTTTAAAAGGGATAAAATGCAGAATTTTTGTACAAATATCCATGGAACTAAATGACAGCAGTCCTGGGTGTTGACATGGGGAAAATCTTATTAACTTTAACTATGAAAACTAGTAAAATTAGGAGTAAATATAATAAGAAAGTCTAATTAAAGGAAGTTAGGTATGATCTGACATATGCTGTCAAACAAAAGACAGTAGTATCACAATTACATCAATTCAACCAAAATTAATAAATAAAATTTATGCAGCTCCAGATCTAATTCTTATGTTTTCCTGGTATTGTATAAAAATATCCTAACATTTCTGTGGAGGAATAAATGTCTATGCATAGCTACAAAAAGTATGAAATAGAAGAATAAAAACGTACTATAAAGCCTCAGTGTTATAGAGGACTTGACATAAAGATCAGTGAAACAAACTAGAAAATCCAAGAATAAAATCTTGTCTGTGCCCCATAAATATGTATAATCAAAAATAAATAAATACTTTAGAGAAAAAATTTTCTAAAACTTAAAAATAGAATGTGAGATATATAGAAATTTAAGATATGACAAAAGTTCATTTCATTAGGAAGAGATTATATTATTTAATCAATGATACAGTACAACTGGCCACCTATTTGGAAGAAAATAAAAGTGACCCTACAAAATTTACCATATATAAAATAAATTCCAGATGGATTAAAGACAAAAAACAAACCGAAAGAACAAAATAATAGAAATCTGAAAATTTAGGACATTACATTTACAATCTGTGGGAGTAGAGAGTTGTCATCTCAAACAAAAGTTATAATAGAAAAGATGACCTTATTTTACAGTATAAAAATTTTAAACTCTTTTATGGCAAAAGATGTCCTGAAATTGATAGGCAAATGAAAGGCCAGTAAAAACATTTTTAACTCAGATGACAAGGAAACAATACAAAAGAGCCCGTTAAATAGGCAAGACAAAGACAAACAACCCAGTTGAAAATGGGCAAAGGATAGAAATAGTTAACAGAAAATTCTTGTTTAAATAGATGACAAACATATGAGAAAAAACGTTTAAATTCATTGGTAGTTAGGGAAATTAAATATTTCGGTTACAGTAATATGTCACTTTATATTCATCAGACTTTTCCCATGTACAGAAAAGGCAGTCCTCATTGCTGCTAGAAATGTGAAGGGTTAATACATTAGGGAACTACCTTGTAACATCTATAAAAATTTAAAATGTTTCTACCCTTTAACTCAGAAGTTCCACTCTTGGGAATCTATGCCATAAAAAGAAAGCCATCCATATAGAACACCACATGAACAGGATGTTTATTGTAGCATTTCCACCAGTAGCAAAAACCTGAAACAAAGTGTGTGCCCATCAATACGAGATTAATTGGAAAGCTGTGGGTACATACATACCTTATAATATTATACAGGTCTTATAAAGGAATAAAGGCTATACCAGTTGACTTGGAGGAATTTTTCTCATCAACTAAGAAACATGAAGTGCAAAAGTAAAATTAAGAAATGAGAGAAAGAAAAAGGTAAGAATATTGTAAGAACACTTCCAAAAAGTAAGAATAAAACAGTTCTATAAATGAATGTATTTATTTGGATATATGAGTATGGAGAAATATATGGATGGATGCATACTGGGTGGTTAATAAGAGTTATAACTTGAGTTGGAGGTTGGCTGATAACATAATAGGAAAGAAGATAAAAACCAGTATATATGATATCACTTTAATGCACTGTAATTATATTTATAGATATTTTCAAAAACTTTTTAAAATGAATTTTTAGAAGAAAATGATAAAAATGAACTAAAATGATTTATGGACCTAAGAGGACAGTAAAGAGTCTCATATCTATATGGGTGTTAAAATGCTTATAGATTTTTTTAAAACCTTTTATAACCTTACCTTAAGTTGTCAAATTTTGACAGAAATATATTCAAAATCTCACAATGATTGTGCTTTTTATTAAGTTTTCTTTTGTGTTATTCATTTTGTTATTGTCTTTGGTACGTAAAAGTTTACTCCTAAAAAGTTCCTTTTATTATATTTTTATACATATACTTATTAATATATTTTGGGATAGCCAGTTAGTTCAGTTGGTTAGAGCTTGATGCTGATAACACCAATCCCTGAATCCACGGTTCAATCACTGTATAGGCCAGCAAGAAAACACATATATATATATGTATTTTATCATATTTTACTGTCTCACTTATTGCTTTTGGTCTTGAACTGTATTTCCTAACATTAATGTTATTAGTTCTGCTTTCTTTGCTTGTATTTGCATAATATATCATTACTCACCAATTTGTCGTTTCATTTCAGGTGTGTCTATTACCTGTATTCTTTTCCCAAATTTGAGCACTCCTACCCCCTTTTATATGGGATTTCAATCATTTTTTATACACTTTGGTTTTATTCTCTCAATCTAATTTGTGACACGAATAAATGATTTAATCCTGCATGACTTACACTTTTATTTTGGATCTAAGAGTTCCCCCTTTAAAGTTTATTTTGAGAGAATTTAAATTCTGAATTTCACATACAGTATTTAATACATATAATGACTAGTGCTTAGGTAAACCAATTGAAAATATTTCTTTTTTCCTTCCCTTATCTTCATGAAGACAAGTTGAGCGGCAACAATAATATGAACAAAAGACAAAAAATTGCTCAGGACTTTCTCAACTCTATTGATCAGACAGGAGAACTTTTGGCAATTTTTGAAGATGATGAAATTGATGAAATTAAGCAAGAAAGAATGGAGGTATAGTACATTCTTCCTTTTTTACAGTAATAGAACAACTATGGCAATGCCTGTGCGATTTTGTTGTATTCTCATGTTCTTTAAATATCTAAAATCTCCAAATCAATGGTTTTATGTATGATGGCAGTAATGTAAAAGGAGTAAGCATTGAGGAAGTAGTCAAGCTCTGCTTTCAGAGTCAACTTTGGAAAATGACTTCAGTTATGTTTTTCTTTGTTTCTTCCTTTGAAAATGACTAGGTTTCCCTACTCGGCATCTGACATTTACTGATTTTATTCCATAAAAGCTAATTTATAATTAAATATTTACCTATTTTTTGTTCCAAATCATCCATTTATCTTTGTGGGCAAAGGTAATTCTTACTGCTTTTGTGTCGGCATATAGCGTGAAGTATTTTTCAATTATAATTGCAGGTTATGATTGGACTTAATAGCTATGGTAGTATCCAGGGCAATTACATGCTTTATATCACTGTAACATAAAGATAGTGATATACATTTGGATTCCCTGGATATGTTTTAACAAAGAATATGAAAATTGTATGCTTTCTATTTACCTTAACTATTCTATACATAAAATTATTGTTTCTATAAATACTTCAGGAAAAATAAAAGATTTGTTTCATTTGAGCACCTTCCAAAATACAAGGCAGTATTCTTACGGTTCCTATTACTATTATTATACTTTTACATGTAAGAAATCTCTATTTTTTCCTTCTCTCTAAATTGGGCAAGAGGGTAATTCCAGAATTCCAAAAGATTGTGCTGAGTGCTTACTTTTTCATAGTCTTTGTGCATGCTAAAAATATAATTATTTCATGTTAAATTTTGGAGAAAGTCCAATAAACATGCATGCTTTATAAACTTTAACAAGCTTCTTTAAAGAATTAGTATGCTTAGATCATGAATTGTGATCTAAAGGCAGTGTTCTTTTAGGTATCAATTACCTTAGAAATGTGTGGTTATCTTGGTTTAGGGCAACTGCAAATGGTTTTAGTTTAACTTTGCCTTGGGCCAAAAACATGCTAAGTTGTCCAAAGCAGATGATAAACATATATTTCTGATGTCATTATGCCCTAAACAGATAGGATTGTTTAGTGGCATGGTTTCACTTATGATGTATTGCATAGAAAGCAAATATTGTTTATGCTTTATTTTAAAAATATTTTTGTATTATAAAAGCGGACATCAAGAAATATTCATTAAGGAGGGACACTACATAAAACATTAGTAAAACTGAGCAAGTAGCTTTTCAATTTTGATAGGAAAATCTTAGCTAACCAAGCTTATTGCCTGGAAGAACATTCCACAATCAAGGAGGAGGGAAGAAATGGAGCATTTTGTAACACGAAAGCTTATAATAGCAGGCTACTGTGGGCCTGGAAAAACAATCAGCCAGTAAGGTACTAAAGTTAATAGAATATCTTGGAAATGCAGAGTAGGAAAAGCTTGACCAACTAATGCGGTCGACATATCTCTTCCATGTAGTTATATTATATATTACATAGCAGTAACCAAGATAATATAATTGATAAAAATAGTTACAATGAAAGTCAGCTTTATCTATATAATAAAATGAGATTGGCAGCTTCTTTAAGCTTTTTATCAAAACTGTAATTTCTCTAACCAAGATAACAAAGAGTAGTTTTGATATTCTACTCACCCAAATAAGAGTTTTAACTGAATAAAAAATGTTGGACTTGTAGGCATAACTGTAGACAGTAGAAAGTGGAACCGTTAAGAGCATAGGCCTTGCCTGCTTCTAATTTGACAGGTTATAGTTTCAAGAGTAAACCACTACTGTGGCAGTCCATATGAAACCACTTTGGACTCACAGACTGCAATCTCTTGCTGTTAGAGTGTAGTAGAATAATCAGTCCTGGCATCATTCAGTGGTTTAATTTTTCTCTAAGCATCACTTATGGTTGCAGAAACTTTGTTTACTACCTTCTCCCCTCGAATGTATGAAAATGGTATTGGCCGTACTAACAAAGCTTAATTTTGATTTTCTTTCTTTTCTTTTTTTTTTTTCATTTAAATGTAATTTAGAAAAGAAAAACTTTTATAGACATGGAAACTCACTCTCTTGGGACCCCAGCTTTTTCTCAGAACATTGAGCAAGCATACAGAAAACAGACTCGAGTTATTTCCTGTTGTTTTTTTTTTTTTCAGCTATGTGTGTGTGTCTGGCTTTGATTCACATATAATTTACTTTATTACTATTAAATATTATGTGACTTAAAATATAAAAATGTCTAAATTTTTACATTCATTTTGTCTTGCAATTCCATCGTCATGCTAGTTAACTCTTACCCTATTTATTCTTCTTTAGCTGCCAAATTTCTAACACTTGGGTATATCTTCAGTAGAGATCCATCATCATGATCTCTAAAGATCCTTCTAAGTTATCAAATGAAGATTGCATAAGTTTCAGAGTTGTTTTAGTGTATTTGAGGGAATAGGAAAGAGAAGCAGGAAAACAGTAAGCACACATTTATATATATAAGTACGTACATATAAATACAGCTTCCCTCCAACCACCCCTCATTCTCACCCACCCCATCCCAAAATGAGGAGGTGTGTGTCAATAATGTTTCCTTCATTCTAATTTTTTAAAATTCTAACGACTGTACATGGCTGTGTCAGCCAAAGGCCAAGGAAGAGCCACTAAAAGCTGCAAATAGCTTTGGGGTTTCATAACAAGGAGGAACTTTGGTCAATCATGGAGGAGCCCTGCCTCTTCCCCAGCTGCTCTGCTTGTGGAGGAACCTGAGAAGCTCAAGTTTATCACTAATCAAATATCAGGTCTAATAAGCCACTAAGTTTGTGAAGGGGATGTAAACAGTGGATTCTTAAAAAGTTGGTTGAATTCTACCTTCAGTCTAATCCTCAAGTTGATAAAAGTATAAAAGAGCAAGGATTGGAGCTTACCAAAGAGAGCAGCCTTTAAATAGACTGGAATGAAGAAACTGTGTAGTGACGATTGGGGCTCAAGATGGCGACGGGTCTGGAGCGGCCATGCCAGGAGACAGCACGACCCTGAGAAGTGTGCGCTGTGATACCAGAGTACTATTTGCATTTCCAAGAGCAACAAAAAATGAATAAATCTTTGAACAACTAACCTACAACGACAAAAAAGCAGCTACAGGTTCGAGGTTTTAGGGCCGTCACAAAAGAAGATTCCTGAGAGTGCCCAGGCCGCGCTGCGGATTTGAGCGAGCAGTCCGAGACAACAAAGGCCAAGTAAGTCAGCAGAGATGACACAGAAACGGAGTGGAAGGCGCCGGACTGGCCCAACTCTGCAAGCTCTGTGAGTCACCCCCAGTCCAGCCCAACTTGCGGGGCGAAGCCCATCTGGCTCCCGCCCGCCTGGCTCCCACCTACCACACCAGCCTAGGCGCTGGCAACAACACAGCCTCCATTTTCTCGGGTGGGGGCGGAGACGGCCAGCTTGGATCGGCCAGGCTGACCCCCCTTGGCTTGGCGCGGCCCCTCACTGAGACGTACCACTTGCGTACCTCGACGCGGGCGCCCCTGGGCCTGTAGACCGGCCTACAATCCCACTCCCCCCGCGGATCTCTGACGGGGCTGGTGGAGGGGGGAGCCCCCGGCCAGTGTCAGGAGGGCAGGGAAGAGGAGCCTGCCCAGATTTCCACTCCACCACACCCTGGGCTTCAGCCCCAGGTAAACTCCCTGTTTCCGGGAGGCAGACACTATCTCTGTGGCCCTCAGTTTGGAAGAACCCCAAACGGATTTCTGGTTGGGAGAGGGGAGCCCGAAGCGCTCTGGAGCTAGATTGAAGCTGCCGGGAAGCACTCCCGGAGGGCGCCCGGGTTGACCCGTGCTGGGGGGATTCAAAGAGGAACTGTGTGCTGTGGGTTCCTCCCCTGAGGAGCTCACACCCTGAAGTTGGAGATTACTACACAGATAGCCGCAGCACCGGGAGGAAGGTGGAGGCCTTATCCAGGGTCACAAAAGCACCCAAAGCGTCCCTTCCAGAAACCTGAAACTCTTCCTGGGCAGGGCAAGGCAGGGCACAGCTTTGATGTCCCAGCTGATAGACGAGAATGGCAGAAGACACGCCTCAGCCCTATACTGAGTGCACAGAGTGGGGAGGGGTCCAGCAAAAGGAGGTGGAGTCTCGGAAAAAAAAATACACGCCCTGCAGGCCCCCTTTGCAAGGCTCAACAGCCCCACCTAGTGCACACAGAGTGGGAAAACGCCCCAATAGCGAGGTGCAGAACACACATACCTTGCGGGCCCAGCAGGGAGGTATCAAGCAGCCTACTAGAGTTCAAACTGATCAGAGAGGTGGCTCCCCGCAGAGGTCCAAGACCCAAGTGAAACTCCCTTCCAAAATGAACAAACACCCAAAAAGAGATACCAGAAATGCAAAAAAACCAAGAAAGTACACCACCAAAAGTTAATAAATCCCAA